TGCCCTGAAGGATATGGTTCCTGAAGAAGTTCCAGATAGACAGTCAGAAATGATGCTTAAATGGAGACAATGAAAAAAGGCCCATGAATGTTCCCGAGCTAATCTCGGTAGAGATTTCAAATCTCCACTTATTTGCTCCATGCGGTATCGGAGTAAGGCCAACTGAGACGTATTACTTAACGTGTTCACTTCAAGAGGAAGACGAAATCAAAATGCCACCTTGCACGTGATAGAGGGCTTGTTGGGAGCGGTACTGCGCATGCCTGCGCTCTGCACGGGGCCCTTGCATTTCACGTAAGGAATGATCGATTGGGGCATCAAACGCACTTCTCTTTTCGGTAGTGGAACGGGGCTGACAATACGTGCGTAATGGCGATTATTGACCACGTTTGTAGGTTTGGGCGTGAGATGGGCAGCTTGTCGAGGGCTGTTACGTCAACCAGCGAGCCATCTACACTTAGAGGTGTACATGAAAGTCGTTCGGTTCTAAGGTACTGATAAATAAAAGGCTTGGTTCGATAATGCATTCCACTGCCAATCCTCGCACATGTTACACGCGTGGTGGTCAAAGGCTGTCCACATTCTTAACGTATTGATAAAGAGTCTTTTAAGAGTCGGCAATGGGCCACACCTAAGTAATGACTACATGAATTTGTGGGCGAATGAGCGAGTATGGTTTAACAACAATTTGGGCAATATTCAAGCAATACCCCACGTACTACCCATAAGGGAGATTCGACTCGACTACCTCAACAACTTGACTACCTCCATGAGCGCAATTTAACTCAAAACATTTTGATTCGGGTTCTCTGCTTCAGTGTTATCCACGAGAAATAATGTTTCATGGTTTCCCTGTACTATGTATATTTCAGTACTTCTCAATGAATGGATTTCCCCGCTCTCCACCGAAAAGACAAGGATAGGTCTAAGCTTTCTTCTAACGTAAAAACTTTACCACCAGACATTTCTTCCTAGTCTGGATTCTAGCTTGTTGTTCAACGCCGCACTCATTAATATTCCAACTCTATGATGTTTTCTGTAAATCGAGTCTGGGCCAGACAATCTGGTGACTGACATCACGAGCCTTGTTCTACGCACTTGGGTTACGTTGACATGGATCAACCAAGTCAACAAGCATGACCTCCCGATCCCGTTAGTCGCCTCTTGCAACAATCATGGGTAGCTGAAGACCATTTCTAACCAGGGCTAAAAAGAATTCGAGATCTCATTAACAATATTCATCATATTCTACGAATATTCATGCTCACTGACACATACGTAACAATTCAGATTCAACGATCACATATCTGATGTCAGCCATCTTGTTTCTTGTCTTACTTCTCCTGTAGGAACCCTCGAGACTTACATCGTCTGGTGGGATCTTCTTGTGCACATGAGAAAGGTCAACATGTATTTACATTGTAATGAGTTGTGGAAACTGTAAACACATATCGAGCTACCGCCAGGTTCTTGTGGCCTCAACAGGTTCGGCTGTGAGACAATATCGACAGACAATGAGGTATGTGTCGAGTGTATGTGTCGGTAGAATGTGTTGGTAGTAAGTGTCAGGATAGTGCCTCTCGGCAAGCCGTGCTCCGAAAACACACTACCGTAAATTCCTGAACAGACGCTCGGTCGTCTATGCAATTCAGAGACGTTTTACGCCCAGCATATATTAGACTAACGGTCTTAATAATTTAATGAGTGAAAACGTTTTTTATTTCAGTGAACTGACTGAAATGAATACAACGTGCATGGTTTGAATTTTGTAAAGAATTTCGTTTCAATACAACTTAATTTAATTGCTAAAGGAATTTCTACATTTAAAGGTTTTGACGAGGCATGTACTCATTTCGCGGATCTGTCACACCCTGCAGGAATCTATTCCAGGAATTACTGAGGAATGGGCCAACTCCCTGTTCGCGGATTGTATATGTTCGGTAAAATAGGCAAAATATGACACGCTTCAGGTGATTGCCATATCTTCATTTCCATAAGCAAACATTGCCAATGTCGTTGCGTTCGTTCAGTTGCATAACTAAATACAGTTAGTGTCCCTGGCCAGCAGTTGTAGCTGTGTGATTCATGGGAGTGTTGAGGGACAATCTGACAGTAGAGATACCAGAACAGCAGTGGGCACACAGACCAACCAGAGCATGATCAAACAGTGTTATCTTAGATTCATATTTTGTGTCTCTTTCTACTATTTTCAAATGTTCAAATTTTCAACAATGTTATGCTCAGTTTGATTCATGTCATCGTGTCCAAATTGATAGAACGAAGATAACAATCATTGAATTGTCTGATCCATACCTGGTTACATAGTCCGCCGTCATGCATCTGGAGCATTGATGTGTGGCGTTAACCAACCAACCAACACAACAAACAAACAAACAAACAAACAAATGTACAAACTCAGTCTTGCTTTGAGGAACAATTTATATGGATTGGCAACTTTTTTAATTGCAATGGATGCAACTTGTGTTGTTGTTGCTAATACGGTTATTATGCAAGATACGTTAACATATAAACCGAAACGATCCACACCTTGTAATAAAGAACCATATACCTTGTTCCTCTTCATCATACAAACTTCTAACATGCCACTTAAAGACGTCAGCCTTCTTTGTTTAAAGGTCACATGCAACGTAAAACACAACTTTGCAGATTCTGATACCTTTCGGTATGGACTTACCGAAACAAATCGTCAAAAATGCAAATTCAACATATAAAGTTGAAAAATAACGCGATGAAAAAAAACGCGCGAAATCGGAGTTCAAACGTTTCACTAATTTTCACCCGACTTTTCTGGGGAAAACGGGTTTCAACAGCTGGGCTGCTTTCATAGCACGTGCGCAAGTAAATAGGTTCGCGCAGCTTGGAAGCGGGTTGTCGGGTGAATACTCGGTGAAAGCTTTGGTGTGAGCTATTTTTTGTTGATATCTCACAGGCGCGAGCTTTTATATGTTATGACAGTAAATTAACTGTTTATATAATTTCATTTGTCTATTTCACCACACGTTCTTCTTACCGAGACACTTTCTCAGTTCGATACTTAAAAGCAATGTCATTATTTAGCGTTGACAGAATTTCTAACTGTGATATAGATATGTCGTTGTCACAGACAAAACTCAATGTCTTGTTTTATTGAAACCTGTGTGTCTGCCTGCCTGTCTGCTAATGACAATATTCAATACACAGCTGCTATCACTGACCACATGCAATTTGAACTTAACACCAATCAGGCTATACACCATAAACAAAATGCATTGATTTATGGCCCGAGTTCGGTCTCTGTCACATTATGTAATTACACAGACAGGCAGGTGTGATACTTGAACACATGACATGTTATGATGTCTGTTGATTGCAAAATGTTATACACAAAAAATGAGCATGTATTTACAAAACCCAACATCTCTATATATATACACACAATGAACGGTGAGGGCATCTGCAAATGAACCAGCCGTTACACTTGAGTGCACACCCACCCGCTCTGACTGGGTTCGGTATCCCGGCTGCTTCGTTTCTTGGGAAGTAAACCGAAGTACACAATTTTGCACTTTTGATTTGCGATTGTACGCTTATAATTTTGTTTATATGTTTTTTTCATAACCAGCAATGTATATTATATGTCATTTATATGTCATGAATAAGTGATAATTGTGTTTTAATTATGTTTGATTTTTTGGTTGCATGTGACCTTTAAACAGATATTGTTTGGGCCAATCCAGATGGAAACTAAAAAAAGGTTTGTAAATATATTTTCACGTTTTGAAACTCCGAAAATATAGCCTGTCCCTTTTATTAATGAGAATATTTCCTGCTGCAGTTATAGCTTATGTAAAAACCTGTGAAATATAGTTCTATGGGAAGTAGTACTGAGACAATGGCTCCCTGGACGTAAGCTCCACAGGCAAATATGGCGGAGCCTATTATTCTGCAACCACAAACCCACAAACCATGGCATTCCATTTAATTAACATTGAAATATTCACCCGTTTCTTTTATATTGCATATATTGCACACATTGTGAAGAGGAAACCGGTTTCTCCACTGTATGACGCACCAATGGAAGGAGTTTGAATGCATTAATTATTTGGCTAATCCAGGATTAATGTCAGAAGTAATGTTTAAATCCATACAAGATGACTCTGGTAGCTCGGAAACATATGAAATGAACACCCTTTAATATTTAATTTTTAGGATCGTTTTCGATTAAATGGCACTTTGGGAATGGTCTGGCTGCGTATTAAATCTAAATGGCTGTTTTAAAATGGAAGTTGATTTGCAGGTTTCACTGAACATTCTTCAGCGCAATACAGTCCACGTCGTCTGAGTGTTACAGTTGCTGATTCGACGAGGTGGGTTTAACGTGGATTTGTGAAATAAATGTATTTAATAACACTTCCCTATCTTGTATGAAAGTCAGAAGCATCGTAGGAACTAGATGTTTACCCCTTTGACGTACAAAGGTTCAGTGCTGGTAGACCATGGGCCATGCTCAACTAAAACCTTGGGTTCGAACCCCTGACAATCTCTGCGCAGTGAAGCAGAAGCATGATAAGAAGATAATGTTTGTCTCCATCATCGGTTCCATGCTACCATACGCACCTCCAACATCCATACTCTTGTGAGTGAGTGAGTGAGTTAAAATTTAAAGTCAATAGGCAATATTTCAGCCATATCGTGACTATCTTGTGAGTGACCAGGTTTTAGCAATATTGCAGCTGAAACCACTAGGCTACCCATCAACCCCATAAAACTGTGGCTTATGTTGAGATGATGGAAGGTGCCTTGGATACAGGACATCGGTATTACCGTGTACAATGGAATTACCACTTAAGAACATAAAGAGAGGCGGTTCTCTTGAATTCACAAGCATGTAATTTATGACACAAAGAGAACCAGCAAAACTCATCGAAGAATTTTTAAAATCCTTTGAAATTAGTTAAACGGTGAAAACACTAATTTGAATATTGATTAAGGACACTTACCACTTAAAACGACTTTTGAGCTGAGATTTCCTTGTACGACGCCATCTCGAGGTTTCACGTTACACTCGTATTGTCCACTGTCAGCCAGAGCTGGATAAGAAACATATATACCGTTAACGGGCCTGACATTTTCTCTCTTGCTATGCCACGTACATTCACACTTGAGATACTACGTCAGTACTCAACAGTTACATAAATGAATTCTGATAACTGTTTTATATTGAACTTAAAGGGAATCAGTAGTGCCATTATCTGAAAAATTCCCACTGCGGTTCTTGATTACCGTAGGGGCGGTGGAGTAGCCCAGTGGTTAAAGCGTTCGCTCGTCACGCCGAAGACCCGGTTTCGATTCCCCACATGGGTACAATGTGTTAAGCCAATTTCTGGTGTCCCCCGCCGTGATATTGCTGGAATATTGCTAAACGCGGCGTAAAACCATACTCACTCACTCTTGATTAACGTGGCCTTGCGTGTGTTTGTACACTAATAGTTCATTCCATAGACTTGCTTTTCTAAGTGTCCTGATGACACAGACCCGTGAAGGTCTTTGTTAGAACATTGATCTTCAGTAACCCATGCTTGTCGTAAGAGGCGACTAACAGGATCGGGTGGTCAGGCTCGCTGACTTGGTTGACACATGTCATCGGTTCCCAGTTGTGCAGACCGATGCTCATGCTGTTGATCACTGGATTGACTTGTCCAGACTGGATTATTTACAGACTGCCGCCATATAGCTGGAATATTGCTGAGTGCGGCGTAAAACAAAACTCACTCACTCACTCACCTGATGACACATGAGTGAGCGAGTAGTGTTTAATGCCGCTTTGAACAGTATTTCAATTATATCACGTCATATAGGATCACAGAATCATGACACTTGCAAGGGACGCAACTTCTAAATCAGATATCATATTAGAGAATATTAGACAATTTTAGACACAGATTCAACTTTCAAGAAGTAAGGCAGTGAATTCGTGACGCCGTTTTGAACAATTATTTCAGTCATCTTGATGTTTACCTGGAAACATAATGTCGGCTAATCTAGGATTCGAATCCCAAAAGAAGTGGCACTTCATTTAGCTATTTAATGACACCAGCTCTGTTGCAGTGCGTTTCTAGAGTTCATGTGAGGGAATATGGTTGTACATGTACTTACAGGCATTGCGTATTCTTAACGTTGTGTTTCTAGCTTCCAACATGATTCTTCCTGACAGGTCAGGCAGCTGACTCAGTGACGTCATGTTCTTCGTCCACAACACGTCGACGTCATGATTTGCCGGGTCACACAGCAGCGTGATACTCCCTCCAGGGTCCCTGATCACGTGACTTCCTGTTTGAACTGAAGAGGAAGTGAAGAATATCTAATTTAAGAATTAACACCTCAACAGTTAGTGAGTGAGGTTAGTTTACGCCGCATGTTGCAGTATCCCGGAAGTATCAGGGATTCTGACATTGTTGAATCGAACCAGAACCTTCGGCATGTCGAGCGAACACTCTACCAGCTGTGCTACCCAAACGTCCCCTGCCTTAACATGCCAAGTTCAAAATGCAGTAGAAGTGAAGAACATACACTTTTGAAAAATCGAAATCTCTAAAAGTCACTTATTGAGAATGATTTTACGCCGCTCTTGCATTATACCAGCAATGTTACGGCGGGAATCGAACCCGGACTGTGTAAAAAGGTGGCAAAATAGTTAATGCATATCTAAGAAATTCTTCTGCATCTAAAGCTGATTTAGAAGATGAATATAACTTTTGTTGAAACGTCCGGCTTATATAGAACTTTGGGATAGATTTTTGCCTAACAATTTGCAAGTTGATATGATATCTTTTAGCAATATCCTTAAATGAAACAAAACTGAAGAAATTACCAATCTAGTTCGTTTTATCTATTATGCATACGAAATAAGAGTAAAGTTGGAAAACTAGAAAATAGTTATTGCAATTTTGAGAAATTGTTACATGTTTTCGTTCACGCCTTCAAACCTGTTTGAAATATGTTTATATTAATATGCATATGGGCCTGTGACCTTCAAATGTAATGAACATGTGAGGATGAAGTGAGCAAACATATCCAGTCCAGAAACTAAGTTATTTGATGTAATTTATACCCCTCATGTATTCTTAGAGCTACCGGTGTCGTAAGTCCCACTGTAATATATACTTACCAATATATAGAGCTTCGAGCTTCATAACTTCATTTTAAAACATACTTATTTTATATTCAAAGCTGTACTAGTGGCCTAAGTCCCACTGTAATATGTACTTACGAATATATCCTAGCGCTACTATTGTCTTTAAAAGTCAAGTAGTAAATAAATATATATTCATCTTTTATTCGTATTTTAATTCATATACGAGATACGCAGCCGTCTGATTCATGTTCCTTCGAAATGTATTTAAGTCTATTTAAATTGTACAGTATTATTCAACACGTTTCACTCCATCCATACATATTTGATATTACTGCATTCCATACTCGTTATATATCTCCTCCCTCAAGGTAAATACTCAATCGTAAACATTCATTACATTCTTTGATTAATGTAATATGGCAGTTATGTAAAACATATGAACATATTAAGGTACAAATTAATAACACGCCGCCGTCATATAGCGAGCACATTGCTGCCTCTGGTGGAAGCTAAGAAACCAGGAAGTAACTTTATGTACAGTAGATTAACATACACAGTTAAGGTTACATTGTTTCATAATAAGCAGTCTTCGACTTGAAATGGCTGCCTCCACATTTGCAGGACTGACTTATGTACCGAATGTATTCTCTTAACTTAGAATACTATAATAATTGAACGATACATCATAGTTTAGCAATTATATATCGTATACAGGTCCTTCTACAGTGAACAACTATTCTTCAGTATACATTGTATGATGAATAATAAAATATCGTTTTCGGGTGAATATTTTCAAAACAAATTTCAAATTAGGTAAATCATTACAAAAGGCATAAGCAAGCACAGACAGCTCAAATATAGCTTTAGTATTTTCAAAACGTCTTAAAACAGACCAGCTCAAATATGTGTTCCCGTTCTGCCTATGAGTGACATCAGATGTGTTATAGTGTAAGAGACATGTCAGCTTCTATTACAAGACGACAAGAGGCCAGAAAAGCTAAACGTCACTCCAGCGGCTGGGTATCAATAGAAGAGTGGCAAGAACGAGTTCAATATTTACACTCACCCCTCAAGACCTTCACCCTGACGTCTTTCCTCTCCAACCCCGATACGCATGCGTAGACTCCCGAGTCTCTTAGAAGCATGTTGTTCCTTGTGATGGTCAAGTTGGTGACCATCTGAATCTTGCCGTCCGAGTACGCGGCCGTCCTGAAAGTGTGCGTGGCGAAGTAGGGTTCTTCCACCGGGATATCACTCTTTGTCCACTTGATGTGGCCATTGTCCCCTTTGTATGTACAGTCCAGCTTCAGTCTGGAATGTTCCCGAATGTATAACGGTCTGTTGGGATCCACAGACAGACTGCCTTCTCCTGTAACCAGACAATAATACTGAGTTGAGTATTTCATGTACAACATGCATATTTCATTATTCTTTGTCCGCTGTCATCAAGGACGAAAAATGCAAGTTAATGTTTGTTTGTTTCTTCGCATACGATGTATCCAGAAAAATGGAGGTCAAAATATGAAACAGTTCAAAGGCCCACCCTGCCACTACCATCCTGCCACTACCATCACCCACACACTATGAGAGTCGTCACGATATGGCTGCAATATTGCCGATGTGACGTTAAATATTAACTCACTCACTCACTCACACACTATGAAAGCCCTGCAGCACGTTAGAAATTGGTTTCGGTTTGTTGGACTGTTGTTTTACGCCGCAATCAACAATATTCCAGCTATATGGTGGCGGTCTGTAAATAATCCAGACTGGACCAAACAATCCAGTGATTAAAAGCATGAGCATCGATCTACACACTTGGGATACGATAAAATGAGTCAACAAAGTCAGCGAGCCTGACCACCCGATCCCGTTAGTCACCTCTTACGACAAGCATGGGTTACTGAAGACCAATTCTAATCCGGATCTTCACGGGTTGAATGTTCATGGTATTTGTTACACGAGAGAAACAAGAGAAGGACGGGCTCAAATATTCCGAAAAAAAGAAACACTACCTATTCTTTGTTTACCCTTCTGAGTATTGTAAATGAAAGACACGATCATGGCGAATCCGATACGTAAATATAACGGCAGAGGATATTCAGCCTCGATTATCAGCCGAAACATATTCCATTGGGCAAAAACGGCAAATAAAGGAGAACAATTTATGAATGGATCGATAAAACTAAGCAATTCGCGAATTAGGTGCGTATGTCCTGTCCTAAAGGACCACTGGCAACTCACGCAATATTAGTTAAAAATTAAGTGTTCGTATGTTGACCGTCTCTGCACATCCTGCCAAACGGCGTCGGTCTGTAAACAGTCTTGACCGGCATGACAGCGCCTTTACTGATTTCGTTGAAACTAAAGTGTCATCAGACGGCCCATTGCACAGGACGACAACCCCGTGTGCAACTCCATGTGCAACCCCGTGTGCCTTATGCCAATGACCTAATGATGTTAAACGAGGAACCAACTTGCCACGAAAGTTCAGTAATCGCACGTTGACGAGAAGTAGAAGATAGCATGACTTTAATATTACCAGTCGAGCCTACTGTTGGAAATGGGATATACACGACTGCGTCATTCATATGTAATTAACATCAACGCTGGGTGATATATCGTTAATTATACACCACGGTTTGGTCATGATGGCAAAGAAGTGTTGATTACAGTGTACGTGTCCAATTGTGAGATATATCAAGGATCAACATTATACCAGAGGCCTAGACTAACCATTTTAAATTGAAAAGGGGCCCAAGTCAGAAGGAAATCTAGACTTGCCTCATCTAGGATTTTAGCATTGCAGGGAGTGCTAGGCAGAAGGGAAAATAATGGGGTTCAGGGGCTGTGTGATAAACTAGGGAAGCCTAGACTTGCTTCATCTAGGATTTTAGCATTGCAGGGAGTGCTAAGAAGAAGGGAAAATAATGGGGTTCAGGGGCTGTGTGATAAACAAGGGAAGTCTAGACTTGCTTCATCTAGGGTTTTAGCATTGCAGGGAGTGCTAGGCAGAAGGGAAAATAATGGGGTTCAGGGGCTGTGTGATAAACTAGGGAAGCCTAGACTTGCTTCATCTAGGGTTTTAGCATTGCAGGGAGTGCTAGGCAGAAGGGAAAATAATGGGGTTCAGGGGCTGTGTGATAAACTAGGGAAGTCTAGACTTACTTCATCTAGGGTTTTAGCATTGCAGGGAGTGCTAGGCAGAAGGGAAAATAATGGGGTTCAGGGACTGTGAGACAGGCTACCTAAATACCTTGGTTTCACAGTATAAGCAAGATTTCTCCCTTGGAATAAATATTTTCATGACAAGAAGGACAAGTAACTCTACTCATTGTTACACATTCTGGGTTGTTGTACTACAATAGAAACAAGATACAGAAGAAAGAGTCTAAGTCTGAATCAGCAGAAGCATGAACGCAAAAACACCACCTCCGATGTGTGTTGGTTACACCCAGGCAGCAGCAGGTGGTCTCTGATAGCCACGAGTGCCACACAAACAAACCAGTTGTTATGTTCTGCCCAGCTGGGGGAGGCAGTGAAGTGGGTCTGTCGAGGATATTGATCCCGCACTATCTGACTCACGTAGAAATCTATGGAAGCTCCATGTTGTGACAGAGTAAAGTTGGGAGTAGCGCATGTTTGTGTCATTACTGGGAACGCCGACAGTGACGTCCCGCCACTACTTCGATCATGGCTGCGTTATGTTTTAAGAAAGCCATTATTTGTGATTCAAAATACTGAGTGAGTGAACCGGATTTTGCGCCGGTTTAGGCAATATTAAAGCAATATCACGGCGGGTGACAACAGAAATAAGCTTCACACACTGTACCCGAAACCCTGACCTTCGTCGTGACAAGCGAACGCATTTACCACTGGGCTACCCGCCCGTTACGGGAAATAATGTCAGTAGAATTGTGTTACATTTATGTTTCCGTAAGAGGCACCATTGATATTTTCAGAACTACAGTTTAAATTACATCATAACCTGCTAATTGTCAGCAGTTATTACATATTGTGTACAACATGCAAGCCATTTTAGACAGGCAAATCACCATGTATTTAAGTCTGCATAGTTGGGTTTTAATGCAGCTTTGAACTGAAAAGTCACAAACCGGCTCAGGTAGTACTGAGTTGGTTGACGCCCTTAAGCCTGATTATGGTGCTGACTAGCATTCATACACAATCAGTGGGATTCAAACCCAGTATTGTAGGTTCCATAGGTTTTCCAAGAGACGCAACTCTGCATGGCAAACGGCGGAGCATTAAACGACTTGTCGCATAATTCCTGTTTCCGTGTAACTATGGTAATCAGGTTAGTAATCAATTGACCTGAATCAACATTGATATGAATGACAACTTGCTGGAACGTTGTCCCCCCTTTACACAGCCACATCAGCGTGTTACCTTGTGGCATCAGTCAAATCAAACGTTGACCATTAAACCAGATAACGAGGTGAACAAAACACGATTATATTTGAGTGCCACTGGACATTGGGAAAACGGCTTCATCCCAAAGATAACATAGGTAAACGAAATGTACATAAGGTTTAGAAAGTTGATATAATGGTATATATAGTCGTTGGCCGTACATGTATAAATGTGCGTTGACCAACAGTGAGTGAGTATTGTTTTACGCCGCGTTTAGCAATATTCCAGCAATATCACGGCGGGGGACACCAGAAATGGGCTTCACACATTGCACCAATGTAGGGAGTCGAACCCGGGTCTCCGGCGTGACGAACGAACGCTTAAACCACTAGGCTACCCACTGCCCCAGTTGATCAAGAAACACATGCTGTTATTGCAAATTGGTTCGTGGATATTTCTGCGATTTGTTCGTGTAATGTTAATTACAATATTGCCTTGTACGCCCACTGGAATCTGTTTTTGAAGATAATCGTGACTGGTTTTTCTCTGGCATTGACGTGATACACATTCTATAATACGCAACGAAGTGATGCTTTCCACGACCTGCAACGACAGACATATCTTCCCGATAAGCGACACTGACGACAAGAAGCTGCCGAATTAGACCTTGGTGGTTAACAAAGATGATAATAACATGGCTAATAACATCAACTCTGTCAATTTGTGATTCGTCTTTTCTGAACATGTAGGGACCAGTTCAAATGCTCAATGTTGAATAAAACCGTCATTCTGTAATTGTTGAATTCTTGTAATACTCAACAACATACTATCATAAAGAATGACAAACGTATTTTAGTACTATCCTACATGTTTGAAAGAACTTGAACAAAATTCTACAATATTTAGACAAGGAAAGACAAATGATTATTAAAAAGTTGAAAGTGTGGATAAAGAAATTGTGGTACAAACAGAATTGTGAAATAGGAAGGGATTTTTTTTCAGAAATACGGTAGGTTGACTTTGTCGAATGGAAAACGTGCATGGCCATGAACACCCCCCTCAAACCTTAAAGCACTGAGCTTTTTATCTGATATCGAACTTTTGAAACGGTCCTTTCCATTAATTTTCAAATTGTAGGTGCTATTTTCATATCTTCTAGAAGCTATGGATTGATATACAATAGCTTTTCCCTTGACATTTGAAAAACCAAGATTTCCTCCTTTCATATTTACCACAGTATAAATATATCTGGAATAGCATACTTCCATTTCCGTGTATCAAAGAGAATTCCATTTCCAATTCCTACTAATGTCTAGTGACAACCACAGTATCGACCGAATCCCATGTTCCTACTGAAATCACAAACTATGAGTCATAGCAGATGTTACAACAAACACTGTACAATTGTTCAATGGTAAAATAAACGTCAATAACAGCCAATACCAGAACCAACAATACATGCTATCTGCGGTAAAAGCGTACGATAAATAAGCCGTACTTGCCCACGAAGGTAACACGCACCCGTTGGACATATTGGAGTGTCTTTTATGAATAAGCAACACGAAACATGCTGATAAATCACGAAGAGTGTTAGTACAATGCTTGTCTGTGGAGAAGCAGCTCGTTGTATGATGAGCTCCTCCAGAACTACAATAGACGCTTGTCCTGGGGAACGTGCAGAGACATTTATACCGCTCGGTAATTCGATTGTTATGTTTTACTACGACATTCTGTCAACGATAACCGACCACGAAGGAATTGGACCTTCCAAATGCAATCTCGAGATCAGTATAATTTGACAAATTGAAACTGGGCGTGTTATAGGAGTTAAAAAAAATGGGCGTATCTCCATGTACAATCCAGGGCGTTTTAGTTCTCCTAAGGTGGGATCAAGATCAGGTTACACATGCTTTTTGCGTTATTTCCATCCCAGAACTAATTTAGCTATCGGTTCAGTAAAATGAGTTTTTTTTCATCTGAGGTTGTCAAAGATACGAC